TTTAAGACTTGTGCACTTCAACTCCTAGAATTCTCCAGCCAGCTATGCTGGTCCACAAGTCTTAAAGCTGCCAAGTTTGAAGACCTCTGCACTAAACAGCTCTCTTTGGGTTTTGAATATTCTACTTCTGGGATTAATGCAATAGTAGTTCAAGTTTATGATTATTGTCAAGATAAGGCAAGGCATAAGGAGGAGTAGGGAACATCCTGATGCATTATTGCTTTGGTGCAGTGGTGGGTTGCTCCCGGTTCGCACCGGTTCTGGAGAACCGGTAGTAAAAATCTCTCAGTTTGGAGAACCGGTAGTAGTTGCTGGCTGGCCACGCCCCTGAACAGGTTCCCCGGCCACCATGTTGATCACCGCCATGTTCTTTGCACATGCACATGCTATTGCCTTGCAAGTCCAATGGAATGTGCATGCGCAAAAAAATGGCGACAACAGCAGATCCTTTTTGGCAGCCTGCAGAGAAAGTGGTTGGCAAAAAAGCCTTTTCAGAGGCTTTCTGGTGGGCGAGTTGGCCACGCCCTCTCAGTCACATGACCACCAAGCCATGCCCACCAAATAAGCCACGCCCACAAAACCGGTAGTAAAAAATGTTGCAACCCACCCCTGCTTTGGTGCCTTCCACTGCAGCCATTTTACGAAAAAGGAAGCCTTCACTAGACTGCAGACATTTTGTGATAAAGCCCACAACATGCTTTCAAACTTCCAAATGCACCCATTATTTCAAGTTATATCTGCAACCATTTAAGAATCAGGCAAGAATTCTCTAGAGCAAAAATCTTTATTTAATTGAGGTTGCTTCTAATATTTCACTTAATTAGCCCATTCAGTTCTGTTCTGATTCTGTTGCACTGACTCACAGTCTAGCAGTTTTCCGATCTACCAGTGTGATTCATCAAGTTGCCCTTTCTGTCTCCTGACTCAACTCTTTCATATCAACCTATGGGGCTGTATCTCCCAATTGCCAAAAATGACAGGCTTTTTGGTTTATTCTTCTAGAAGATAACAAGGTGACAGAAAAGGGATTCCTTGTCTTTTCCCATAATTTATAACCCAGCCATTCAATTCTTGTCCTTCTGGAAGCAGAGTGCCTTACCACTTCATTCCAGTTTTAAATTCCAGTCAGGTCATTTCCTTTGATCTATATTGAACACAGCAGAAGCCTCCAAAAAGTCAAAGGGAAAGACCATATTTATTATTAGCAATTATGAGCAACTAAAGGAAAGTTATGTTGGAAAAGTTATTTTAAAATTCTTTTCTCTGCCCACTATTGTATGACATTTTATCATATAAAAATAACAGCCATATTGTGCAACTTTTATGAAATCCAAACATATCTAAGCTGGTAGTAGATTTTTCTTCAGTCATTCATTAAAATACTATGAGTCAATGACATTTTCAAATGTTTTCAGTATCTTGGGAGGACTAGTTGTATTCATGTTCCAGAATGCAAAATTCATATTTTCCATATGTAGTTTTTTTTTGGGGGGGGGTGTTTTTTCCTTGAATCACTTTCAACTATGGCATTAAAATTATGTTAAAAGCAGGGGTGAAATCCAGCAGGTTCTGACAAGTTTTGGAGAACCAGTAGCGGAAATTTTGAGTAGTTCGGAGAACTGGCAAATACCACCTCTTGCTGGCCCCAAAGTGGGGTGGGAATGGAGGTTTTGCAATATCCTTCCCCCAGGAGTGGGGTGGGAATGGGGATTTTGCAGTATCCTTCCCCTGCCACGCTCACCAAGCCACACCACGCCCACCAAGCCATGCCCACAGAACCAGTAGTAAAAAAAATTGGATTTCACCACTGGTTAAAAGGGTATATATTTTTCTCAGCATTGTATAATAAACTACCAAACCTGGTATAGAAAAGTTTCAAGTTTTATATCTAAGTAATTATTCAGAATAAGGCTAATTTGGTAACTATTTATTTCTATAGTGTGAAGCAAAATTCAGATGAAGCATGTAACATTGGTAGTATTTGACAAAAGCTCACTGTGCTCCACAAATTGACCATATTACAGTGATTTTTTAAAAATGGAAAATTCTAGACTGACTTTATTAAGTCAAACAGTATGTTGGATCCAGTTTAACAATATGTGTTAAATTCAATTCAAACAGTACAATCCTGTGTGACGGAAATACTGAAGTTGTCATTATACTTAGAATAAGTATATTCTATATACTTATATAGAAGTGTGTGTGTGTGTGTTTGCGTGTGTGTGTGTCAGGGGTGGATTCTACTTACCTTTACTTCCAGTTCGCAATGGGACCGCGCTCGCTCGCTCGCTGTGCATGTGCAGAAGCGTTCTGATGACGTCAGGATCAGTGGGCGGAGCCTCCCGCCAGTTTTACTACTGGTTCTATAGAACCGGTGCAAACCGGGGGCAACCCACCACTGGTGTGTTATATAACCAGAGGTTGTGGGTGTTCTATCACAGGAGATTTTCAAGAAGAGTCTGGACAGCCATTTGTCCAGTATAGGGTCTCCTGCTTGAATGGCGGGTTGGACTAGAAGACCTCTAAGGTCCTTCCAACTGTATAATTATGTGTTCTATGTTTTAAGTATTAAAATTAAAACATATTTATGAATTCAGTAATTTAAAAAGATATACACTAAATATAATTAAATCTGGATCTAATCTATTTAGTTCTGTTTTGATTCTGTTGCACCAAGTTAAAACTATGTACATGTGTCTATATTTCTTTCTACTGTGTCCTCTGAACTTGGTTGTTTATTTGCAGACATTTGCTTATCCAACTAAGTAATATCTTCAGTTTGAATGAGTATGGAGTTTGCTCACTGGTTATACAAAGGAGCTTGCCGTGCAGTTTTGGTGAAGGTGTGGTTTTCCTGGTAGTTCTTTCATTAAGGTATTATTTTCTGGTTGATAGATTTTCTGGTGTTAATCTCCTTATCTGGGTATTGGCTGCTGGAGAGAATATTTTCTGACATTTTTGACATTTTCGTTCCTTCTTAGCTTTCTTATTGTCTCTTTTGAATAGTGTGTAAATATGACTTGTCTCTATGTATCTGTTGGTGGCTGATTTGTCTAAATGCCAACTTACAAGAATTCTCTAACATTTTTGGATTTAATTTGGTCAAATATGCTAACAGTTTCCTAGCAGAAGCTGTGCTTGGGTCAGTCCATGTATTATGAATTAAGAGTTTTCATCATGACTAATGACTATTGTTGGTTTTCATGGATACTAGTTGGTATTCATGATGCTAGTTGGTGTTCAGGAAGAAAAGCACAACTTCACCAAAACTGGCAGGATAAGCTAATGTATACCAACAGGCAGCAAACCCCATATTCACTTACACTGATGATGATACTTAGTGAGTAATAAAATGTCTGCAAACAATCAAGGTCTGAGAACACCAAAGACTCCAAATTCAACCCTGATCTACATATATGCTCTTCTTTTGGAATATTTCTTTTTCTTTGTTCAGGCTAATATTTCACATTAATCCTTTATCTGAAAATGATATTACAGATTCATTCCAAATTTCTGGAGTGAGGATGGGATAAAGATAAAATTCCTCAACTCATCACTTATCCTAAAATATGCTTGATTTTTCTTTTTCTTTTCTTTTTCTTTTTTTTTTTTGCAAAAAGTTTTTTTTATTTTTTTTCCAAACAAATTACATCTTTTCGGAAGAGAGCTTTGATCCAGTCATCAATTTGTTCAATTTTTTGTCATCTTCAACAAAATTTTATATATTCTATTTTGACATAACATTTATTTCTTATTCTTAAATCACATATCTCAACTAATACCATCTTAGAAAAAGTTTACTCATATTTACTTAATCAAAACAGTTACCCTTCTATTAACCCACCTTAAATCTTAATTCAATTAATACCTAATAATACATTTCACAATTCTTACCCTAAATCCTCACTATTAACAATACAATTCAAACATGTTTATATTTCAAAAATTATTTCCATTTCTATAACTTCCTTACATTTATTTATTACTTCATGTAATGCTCATTAAATCTTTATTTCATTATTACTTTATCAAATTTAAATCTTATCTCTAATATTGAAAATATAGCAATTTAACATTTAAACATAGTTCTTAATTCAAATAATGCTACATAATGCAATTTTCCAATTATTTCCCTAAATTCTATCTATTTAACCATACCATTTATATAAACACCAATTAAATAATTCTTGTTTGTAAATCCAAGCCCCCACCCAAACAGAACACACCCCCATCCAATCAGAGCACAACCAACCCCCCATCCAATCAGAGCACAGCCAAGCCCCTAACCAATCAGAACACACCTCCACCCAATCAGAACACAGCCAAGTCCCCACCCAATCAGCTCACACCCCCACTAGCAGTTAAAAGGAAGAGACAGCTGCGATCTCACATTGCTCCTGGAAGCACGAAGCCGAGAACACCAGCCTGAAGATGACGAATGAGACTTCGTCGAAACGTCGCCAAGACACTTCCAATTTTACGTGGGAGAAGACCCGAATAATAGTTATTCGGGTTTTCTCCTGCGTAAAATTGGAAGTGTCTTGGCGACATTTCGACGAAGTCTCATTCTTCATGTTCAGGCTGGTGTTTTCGGCTTCGTGCTTCTAGGAGCAATGTGTGATCGCAGCTGTTTCTTCCTTTTAACTCAAATAATTGTTACTATTTACTGGGAGCATTATAAAACAGCATCATTAGAACAAGAAACTCTTGAAAGAGAATTATAAAGCTGAAATCAATACAAAGATGGCCAATGGTGTAAATCAAGATTTAAGGATGATGTGAAGTGTCAAGTTGTTCAGTTAACCCCCAAAAGATCCAGGCATAGATGCCAGCCATCTATGTGCACAAGAAAGAAAGAGAAGTGACTTTTCCAAATGACTTCTTGACACCTGCCTGGCATGAAACCTGCAGGGTAGTTAACATCAGGAAAACTGGAAACAATGGCAGATATCTGCAAGGGGCTCTGTACAAGGGCCAGTGAAGGAAAACGAATGACAACATTAAAAGAGGTATATGTTTTATTTTTAATTCTCAATAAACATTATCCCAATAATTAAACGTATTTAAATTCCCACTGATAAGTCAAAACTGTCAGATAAAAGAGGAAAAGATACATGAAATATTTGTAATTTATGTAGTTTGTACTTTATAGTTCCAAAAACATATCAAAAGATGACACTTCCACATATAAGACTTGCCATTATTCACTAGGAATCATTGCATGCATAATTGGAGTTTTACTCAACCCTGCAAACCAAATAATGAATTTAAACTAAATTTAAAATTGTTGCTATGCAAGATGCAAAAGCATCAATATGGAACAAAATGCGACAAATTAAGTTCCTCCCAATGAAAAACATGGGCCAATTCTCCAAAGGAAAAACACCAGAGGGCACTGTTTACTAGTGATTGCCCCTTTTAGTAGGAACTTATATTATCAGCTTTTTTAAGGTAAAAAATGGATTTTGGTTTCAGATATCTAACAACAAAACACTTGTTTATAACAAATTCTCAGTGAATCAAAAGCGTATTGCTTGACTCTCCTGTTAATATTCTATTAAAATATTAAGGTATTATAAGATGTTTCCTCTTGTTATAAGATGTTTCCTCTTGTATAATGTTCTTTAAAACCAGAGTTGGGCTGAACGTAGGTAAAAGTCCACCTTGACCCTGTTAATTATTACTGGATCTATCTTACTCTGATCTTGCAAGATGCTTCTTAATCAAGAATAGATACAAAAAATATCTAAGAATATGTTTTTTTTGCTCCTTAATTACTAAAGGATTCAGTTAATTGAAATGGCTCCTTTTCCACACTGCAACCTTCAGTGGCTTTCAATCAACTAGAAACAAAGCCTGCTTAAAATGACCTGTTCTGGATTTCTATCCCTTCATTTGCTTTGATTTGATGTCATGAGACATGTTTAGCATGATCCTGGACTGGTGAATTCCTCTAATATTCTCAGATAACGTTCCTTTATAAGTAATAGCAATAGCACTTAGATTTATATACTGCTCCATAGAGCTTTAAAACACTCTCTGAGCAGTTTACAGGGTCATCATATTACCCCCCAATAATCTGGGTCCTCATTTTACCAACCTGGGAAGGATGGAAGGCTGAGTCAACCCTGAGCCCATCAGGATCAAACTTCAGGCAGTGAGCAGAGTTTGCCTGTAATACTGCATTTTAACCACTGCACCACCAGGGTTCCTTCCTTCCTTCCTTCCTTCCTTCCTTCCTTCCTTCCTTCCTTCCTTCCTTCTTCCACTGTGCCACTAGGGCTTATCTCCAATAAGGAAATTGTGGGGTGGTGGGGGCGTGCACTAACAATTTGTTTTCTCTGATATAGGATTTTTAAAATCAAAATATATTATCCTATTGATGTGGTGGATTCCAAAATTCACTCACAGAGATTTTTAGCATTTCAAGGTAGCTGAAATGAAGATGGAATCAGGATCCACAAGGAAACCAGGGACATTCAGAGTGATAAAAACAGCCACCCCAGCATTGCAATCAAAGGCCCATCCTTTTTCTACTTTTTCTACATGCATTGTGACAATACACATATCCCCAAAGAAATGTGGTGTTTTTGTTGTTGTTGTTGTTTTGCCCTTCTGCCAAAACCTGATTATTACTGGATACTGATTATCAATAGTCAGCTATGAATGGATTTGCAAACATTGGGGAATAGAAACAGAGGTGGTTCCCTTATAATCCCTTGATAGATGGTTTAGTATAAAACAAAAGTAATATAAAGATTGTAATAGATTAAATAGTAGCTGTTCATTCATGTGAAACTAAAACAACTCCCATACTTTGGTCATTAAACACATTTCTCCTTATACTATTTTGTTGTTGTTAGGGTTTCCTGCTTTTTATTGAAGTGGTAACATCTCTATTTCAAACAAACCATTTCAAACTTCAAGGTGGAGGCCCTGTAAAATTGTATGCAGTTCTATGCCAACACTTCCTTCTACGTGGATACCTGTAAATACCAGGTTATAACTCTTCTCTATAACTCAGAATAACATTTGATAACATGAACCATACCTGTGGTTTTAAAGTGGGATGACTCCGGGCATACAATTTTAGTGAAAATGAGATCCAATATTTCAAGCAAGAAAGGTAAGTCAGTAAAGACTATATTGGAAGGGAGGGAAAGTGCTGTCAGTATTACTTACAAGTGCTTACCTTACTGAGCTATTAAGAATTAACTTGGATAGGATGGTAGGACTAAAAAGAAGGGAGAAATTATGAATGTAGTTGGTGGATAAGTTAACGAATGTCCCTGGGCACTTCCTTCATCTATACTTTAGTTAGCATGCCTATAATTAAAAAGAAAGGAAGTTGCATATCTAGAAATTGTTTAAAATTGAGACAAGGAAAAAATGGGAGGAGTGAGGAAACAAACTAAAGGATTTGAATCAACAAGGAAGACAAGCATGACATTCACCTGCCAAATTTATTTGCATTTTTTTTTTTTTAAATTTGATTTATATGCCGCCCTTCTCCGGAGACTCAGGGCGGCTTACAATGTGCTCAGCAATAGCCTTCCTTTGGCTATGTTTCTGTAGGTTTCTGTAGGTTTCTCCAACCTTTTTTTGGAATCATAATCCAGGAAGTATTCAGGAATGCCCATTACTGTTTATTATTATGCCTTTTGACTACAAAGAGCATTGATACAATTCTTAATCTTACCCTGAGCTTCCTGAACATCCGGCAAGAAAAAGAACTCTTCACACCTTCATGCCTCATATCCCCAAACAGTTCACGGAAAGTACTATTGCCTTCGTAGTGGAGGATGCAATTGATCAAAGCCCCACTCCTTTTTAATAAGCACTCATTATAAATACATTGTAGCTATCAACAGAAAAATCACCAGTGTTTCCAAGATGAAATAAGAAATTGCAACTCAGTGTTAGAGCCTTGCTTCCCATGAAAATTTGTCTTGGCAATTTTAAGAGTGTGGATTTCAACTCCCAGAATTCCCCAGCCAGAGTGGTAAAGCCCATTCATCTTAAAGTTGCTGAGGTTGAAAAGCATTAAGCTGTGTACGGCCTGTTTCTACAGAAGGCAGTTTGTCATGTTGTTATTCTTGACAAATAAATAGTTAAAATGCTATGAAAACATTACAGGAATTGAATCATTCCAGCAGGTTTAAACATAAATTTGTCTCAAAATATAAACCCTTGAGAATGTTGTTAATTCATTCATTCATTCTTCTATTTGTCTTTTTATTTAACTTTTAATCCATTATAACCAATGATATAAAACTATGTTTTATCGTACATTAAATAAGGACCCCAGACATTGTTGTACCAACATAAGTTTTGCCAAGAATTGTTGAAAAATTATTGTGGATAATTTCCAGATTAATTTATATGTGGCATCCTCCCAGTGAGTTTCTATATTCAGATCATCAAAATGAGACAAAAATCTGGCAAAAATAGGAAGAAAGGAAGAAACATAAACAGCAGGAAAGAGTTTGGCAAGAAAAGAGTCATTTGGTTGAGATGGGGAGATTATAGTAATTAAATAAATGAATGAATATTGTAAATCATATCTATCCTATATCATCTTTCCAAAGCCACTGGAAACAGCACTGTGTGTAATTAGTGTGATTGTGCAATTTGTGTCACTGTTCATGTTCTGCCTTCCCATTCTTTTTTTAATCAATAAAAATGTGGGGTAAAGAACTGAGATGCATCAAAGGAATATTTGCATTGTAAATGAATGTAAATGCTTCCATATTTCACATGTCTCTTTCCAATAGCATATTCTGGGTTTTCTCAGTCTTCAGAGATGTTGGATGAATGTTACATGTTTTCTATCACGTCACAAAGAATATTATTATTTTCCATTAATATAATTTTAAGATCTTTTACAGAACATGACAATAAATTGTCATATTGATACAGAAACCAGAGGGGGCTACAAGAGAAAGGAATGTTGATGCAGATCTAAGGATTCTCTAAAATGATAATAGACTTGTCCAGGAATGGAGCTTCCCTCTTTATCTTGCTTATTATCCTGCCTCTGCTTCTCCTTCTTATTTGTTTTGGATTCTCTGATAATGAATCTTGCTTTGCTTTCATCTACTCTTCCAAGGTGTATATAATAAATGATTTTGTGCCTTTTTAATGAGTAGTTTTATCTTGTTTACTAGAGCTATGAAAACTCATAAAAAGATTAGATTAGAAATCTGTCTTTCATAGGGAGGCTTTTTTAAAAAAAATCAAATATGTGTATTTGAAAAAAGATATAAAGAAAATCATCTATAAACTGTAATATTAAATTTGTAATATCAGTCACCAAGACTTCCATTCTAAACATATCATTGGAAATACATTTCTTTGGAGACATGTTTAAAAGTTAATGTAATTGCTTATTCAATGCATCTCCAGATTAATGTTGCCGTTCCAGAAAGTCTAAAAATTGTTTATTCCCATTCTATGTTTTAAATACGACTTCAGTCAATTTAGTTAAACATACTACATTTCCTTCCAAATGATTACTTCTGAAGAATACAGTCAAGAAATTTTGCTGCTAGTGGCAAAATAACAAGATGGCATACCTATTAGCTTTAAAAGAGCATTGAGAACATTAGCACTGTAGTCCTGTTTTAATTGTAGTTATTTTTAATTGTGACTGGTTTTTAAAGTATTGTATGTCACACAGAATCACTTTCATGTGAGATACACAGCTATAGAAATATGATAAATAAATAAATTAGTGGAGCATTAAAAAACCTGGGGAAAGGACCCCCAAAAGATTTCCATCCTTATTCTAGTTTCAGGAAAACAAATTTCTCTTACTGCTATTTTCTCCTCTTATTCTTGTTCCAAAATTCCTTCCCTTTTTAAAATTGCAGCATATTTTAGCTCTACTTACCTTCATATTCATATTGTAAATGGTTCCTTCTGAAGTATTGGAGTCAGTGCCCTAGACTCACATATTGAAGGCCCCACAGAAATTATGGTTCAGCACTTGAAACTGCACAGAAATTATCAGATAAAGTAATAGTTTGTCATTCAAAGTAGAAAATTAATCATTTAAAATACATGTTCCATAAGTTATCTTAATGTATGTAGTCACTTACAAAAGCCACTTATGTAGCCATTGACAAAAACATGGTGACAAATTACATAGCCCTAATGTAGAACTTAGAAGAAGTGGGAAGTAGAACAGTGGTAAGGTGCTCAAACCAATAGTCTATCCTAGAACTTCTCCAAAGACACTGATTATATAAAGGAAGGGACCATATACAGTGGTGGGTTGCCCCCAGTTCACACCGGTTCTATAGAACTGATAGTAAAACGGGCAGGAGGCTCTGCCCACCAATCCTGATGTCATCAAAATGCTTCTGCGCGAGCGAAGCAAGTGCACGTGGCCCCATTGCGAACCGGTAGTAAAGGTAAGTAGAACCCACCTCTGACCATATATGATTTTCACACAGTTTTCTTAAAATTCAAAAAATCTTTCTTGGTTCCAATTAGCAATTCTTGATGATTTGGCTGACCAGATTTCAACTCAAATGCTAATACTTAGAACAACTGACACTTCAGAGAGACGCTTTTCATATATATGAAAATACATACGCATTCTTTTAGTTATACAAAGGGATCTTTTTTATCTAAGGAGCTTCTGGTAGAAAATTAAAATAATATTATCAGGCAGGGATGTCATGGAAGTACCTTGAAATAAACACCCATAATATCCTAAAGGGATATTCCTAGAGTGCAAGCAGTGACTTGTTTTTAGAAACAACAGCAGGCCTGGAAGAATTTCAGCAGTGGTTCTTGCTGCTGCAGCTCGCAGGATTACCTTAGAGATGAAGTCATAAATCCATTAACTTGTAAATGTCATCAGTTAAACTCACATGGAAACAGTGATTGGTGGATTCCCTTTTTCCACAAAGAAGCAATAAGGCAATTCTTGGCATGTGCTTCTATAAACTTTATCTATTTATGAACATTCTTTCTTAACCGTAATTCTGTCATAAATATACTAATCACACATACTAATGTGCTTAGCATCTGCTGACTAGTGCTGAAAATTATCCTGAAAATTTCATTTTACCATTAAAGCCTAGGAATGTTGGGTTTCCTGGGGAAATAGCAATAGCATTTAGGTTTATATACTGCCCCACAGCACTTTACAGCACTCTCTGTGTAGTTTACAATGTAAGCATTATTTGCATATTGACCCCAACAATCTGGGTCTTTGTGCTCCTTTATTTATTTACAAATTATATCTGGCTTTGAGATGAACACTATGGTTAGCAAAATGCTACAAGTTGAGCAAAATTAGGTAAAAATAAAATCTATCTTGTCAAGAATTGTATTTATTTATTTATTAAATTTCTATAGCTGCCCATCTCACATGACTCTAGGCTATATACAATAAAACAAATAAACAATATAAAATATAATACATGTTTTAAAAATTAAACCAGTTAAAGCACAAATACAAATATGGCTGTGGGAAAATGAAGTTACAGCCCACACACAGTGTAACCACCTGGTAGGCTCACTATTTCCTAGGAAAATGCCGGCACCAAATGGTATTTCAGATGATGATCTTTTACTGTATTGTCTATGGAGATTCTCAGTCATTGAGGGCATGGTTGTCTCAAAGGTGCTTTTTCAAAACGCAACTGGACTGTATCACAACTGATGAAGTTTCTTGGATGAAAAGCTAAACATCTTCTTCCTCAAGGAAAAAAGAGTCGTTACCTTTTGAAAAAGCACCTTTGATACTTTTACTGTATTCTAGGTGACCACATCTAGAATATTGCATCCAGTTTTGGTCACCACACTATAAAAAAGATGTTGAGACTCTAGAAAAAGTGCAGAGAAGAGCAATCAGGATGATTGGAGGACTGGCGACTAAAACATATGAAGAACGGCTACAAGAACTGGGCATGGCTAGTCTAGTGAAGGAAAGGACCTGGGAAGACATGATAGCAGTGTTCCAATATTTGAGGGGCTGTCACAGAGAGAAGGGGGTCAACCTGTTTTCCAAAGCACCTGAAGACCAGACAAGGAATAATGGATGGAAACTGATCAAGGAGAAATTCAACCTAGAAATAAGGAGGGATTTTCTGACAGTGAGAACAATCAACCAATGGAACAGCTTGCCTTCGGAAGTTGTGGGAGCTTCATTACTGGAGACCTTCAAGAAGAGACTAGACTGCATTGGTCAGTAATGGTATAGAGTCTCCTGCTTGGGCAGGGGGTTGGACTAGATGACCTACAAGATCCCTTCCAACTCTGTTAATCTGTATCTGTATCTACTGTATTGTAATACAAATATTACTTCATAAAGAAAGACAAATGAAATATTTGTAGATTGCCCTCAAAGATGGAGCAGAAGTTAAGAATGTAGTGAAGAATCATTGATATCACACAAGACTACGTGTCCTTTTTGAGTCAGTGGGCACATTTTGAATGTAGATGCTGTAGCATGCAGTGAATTCTCTTTCAGGGCGTGCTGCTCAGGAATGTGATTGCAAATGTAAAAGACTGTTTTTAAATGCATGAACAAAAAAAAAAAGCATGCATTTGATAAATTAAAAGGAGAATAAGACGAACCCAAATTTATGCTTCTCTATCTCCAGGGAGTCAAGTTATTCTTAGCTGATGTTCATAAATAGTGCCGATTTTATTTTAGGAATTTAGCCCAACTTTCAAGAGCCACTATTTTTGAACATAGAAATCTGACCCAAGACTTTACACATGAACTTTTCATGGAGCACATAAACCTTCCAGAATTAGCTTCTACACACTTTCAGTATTTTCTTTCTCTCTCTCTTTGTAAGAATTTTTCTGCTTGTGCTCCCTGGAACCCGAATGACAAGAAAGCATAGCAAACCAAGATCAGAAAGTGCAGCACATGTTTCAGGTAAGCCCTGAACCTCCCCAAAAGAGCCACAAATAGTGTCTGTTATTTATTTATCCAAGTATATTTTTATACTGACTGGGTGTAAGAAACATTGTTAGCAAAGAATCACAAATCCATCCATTGTTTCATTTCCTGAAGGACAGATATTTGCTTTGTCACAGAGTCAGCCAGATGTGCAGACTGGATTTGGCATTTTTATCTGCCTATCACATCCTTCTCAAGGACCTGCAATAGGCAGATGTGGATTTTCGTTGCAGAATGTAAGCTGTTACGAATCAAGCTGCCTTTTGCAATTGACAGGTGAATTTGTCAATTATTTCTTTGTTTTTTTCAAAGACAATCAAGTTATAAACCTGGCTACCTAGCAGCAAAGAGTGTATCTCCGTGATTTGCAAAACAGAAATCACCCAGATGTAACTGCTGCCTAACTGTAAAGGAAATAGAGTCCAAGGTGAGAATATGAATGAAGGAGAGGTATAAAAGATACGCTCAGCTATGAGGTGGTTTCATAGAATTGTTCCAAAATGACCTACTGACCACTAAGTGGCAGCAGAGAGTTAAGAGTTTTGTATTGTTACCTCATAGCATCTAGTAGTCATGCCATCTAGAGTAGTTATGCCATTTCATCAGTCAGAGAAAAAAAGATGTGACTATATGTTGAGGCCATATCTATGCCAGTTACATTCTATGACTGAGTAAACTTTTTAAACAATATTTCATGAGGAGGTTCCAATGTGGAGCTAGGACTTCCTTGATAGCCTCAGCTCCTGGGAATAGAGTTTCCCACTACAGAAACTCAACAGCAAAGTTCTTTGAATTACATTTTCCATTTACATGAGTAAAATATTGGTCGTTTTGAAGGACCAGTGGACTAATCCATGGGGGGCTGGGAGAAGAAGGATCGTAGAAGTTAGGATTCTAGTTTCCTTTGCATCCAAAAGGGAATGGTCCTACAGCAGAACTGCTGGGCCAATAGCAGCTTTGCAAACTGCCCATCTCACCTGCCTCCACCTTCATGTGCCATAGATTGACTGGATGGAGGGGGGGGTCTTCCATTTTTCCAGGAGAGAGATGCTACTGTCTTGCCAGGACATCTTGGACAAGCTTTAGTCTGCCTTAGCAACAGGCTGCCTAAAAGACAAAGGCTCCAAATGATATGTGAAAAGTCTTCACACTCAAGACTCTTTGGATCATCCTTAAGATGTCCATCCAGTTTTGGTCATCACATTACAAAAAGATGTTGAGACTTTTGAAAAAGTGCAGAGAAGGGTAACTAAGATGATTAAAGGCTTGGAGACTAAAACATATAAAGAACGGTTGCATGAACTGGATATGGCTAGTCTAAAGAAAAGAAGGACTATGGGTGACATGATAGCACTATTCTAGTATTTGAGGAGCTCCCATAAAGAAGAAGGGTCAACTTATTTTTCAAAGAACTAAAAGGCAAGACAAGAAGCAATGGATGGAAACTAATCAAGGAGAGAAGCATCCTGGAATTAAGGACAAATGTCTTAACAGTGTAAACCAGTAAAACAGTTTGCCATCAGAAGTTGTGGGTGCTTCACCACTAGAAGCTTTAAAGAAGAGACTGGACAGCCACTTGTCTGAAATGGTATAGGGCAGTGATGGCTAACCTTTTTTCCTCGGGTGCCAAAAGTGCGTGCCCACACCTATAATGCAATGCCCCCCTATGCACGCTCTGCCCATTTCCAGACTTCAGGTAGGCCCATTTTTCGCCCTCCCAGAGCTTCCACGCCAGCCCTGTACTTACCTGGCATCCAAAACAGGCCGCGTAGAGATTCCTGGGAGTAACGGCATGGGCATGCGCGCATGTCTCCTACATGTCTGGCAGCAACCCGAAAAGCAGCTGGCTGGCAGGAGACATGTGCACATGCACGGTGGACCTGATCTAGGGCGATGGCTCGCGTGCCACTTTGGGCACTTGTGCCATGGGTTCGCCATCACAGGTATAGGGTTTCCTGCTTCAAGAGGGGGTTGGACTAGATGACCTCCACAGTCCCTTCCAGCTCTGTTCTGATTGATGTTCTTCAAAATAAACACAGGCCGTCTGCTGTTTGAACTGGATAAGCACAGGGAGGCAATGGACATTTCTAAGCCATCAATGTTTAAATACGCACACACAATTTCTTACAAAGCAGTTTTTAAAATATATATATATATAAAAGAAACCATTATCTATTTTTCAAAAATGTCTAAAGTTGTCAACTCTACCAGTTTTCAATCATTTTTTCCATTTCTCTCTTCCAGGAGAGCTATAAGAGAATACAAATAATATTGTCCAAGCAGTGTCCTACCTCCTGCCATGAAGTAACTCCACGTCCATCTGTCCGTCCCCCGACACAGGGATTAAAAGAGGAAAAAGTGACAGGTTTCATGCTACCATAGAGGACCAGTTCGAGAAACTGAAAAATTCTAGTATATTATATTAGTAATATTATAATATATATTCCTCCATTATATTGGAAATAAACTATAGGAAAAAACAAAATTAAGAACCAGACATTGAATCTTTGTAGAGCATGGAGAGAGAGAGAGAAATGGCTGGCTTCAGTTGATAGACCAGGAACTGATTTCTCACCAAGGCAGAGGTGGGCTTCAGCAGGTTCTGACCAGTTCTGGAGAACCGGTAGCGGAAATTTTGAGTAGTTCGGAGAACCGGTAGTAAAAATTCTGACTGGCCCCGCCCCATCTATTCTCTGCCTCCCAAGTCCCAGCTGATCAGGAGAAAATGGGGCTGTTGCAGTAACCTTCCCTGGATTGGGGAGGGAATGGAGATTTTACAGTATCCTTCCCCTGGAGTGGGGTGGGAATGGAGATTTTACAGTATCCTTCCCCTGCCATGCCCACCAAGCCACGCCCACCAAGCCACACCCACAGAACTGGCAGTAAAAAAAATTTGAAACCCACCACTGCACCAAGGGGAAAACCAACTTCTCACAAGGTCAGCAGGATCCC